TCACTACTTTATTATTTTAAAATCACACACTATTGTTCGTAGTTATTATGAAGTATTTGAAAAGTGGAATCAACTATTTACAACAATTAAACTTACCTATTCATTTAGTCACAAAAAACTCTCACTGATATTTTAACAATTGTTCAAAATGGACTCCCATTTCTCTCAATACATTTTAAACTATTTTATAACATTACTTGTGTCTGAGCATTGTATACGCCGGGGTAGTAAGCTGTCCAAAATGTAATAATAACCTTTGGTTGGCTGCCAAAATCGTCCTTCGATTAGGTACACTTGAGTTCATTGGCTGTCTTTTTAAACGCGGTAAAGAGGCACTTTCATATAGTCTTTGCGCACCACGTAAGTTTTCACCACTTAAAATGTAGCACCGGACCATCTCGTAATACTCGCGGTTCTAATAACTGCGTCGTTGTTTCGACATCGTTAGAGATACGCAAATCTAAAAATAGCACGCGCGACTTTAATTAGGTCACGGTCAAATTGAAACTAACGAAGGGCAGCGACTACATAGACCCGTCACCGCGAGCGGGTGGAGGGGAAGAGAACGAAGTTTAATGACGCAACGGTAGTTTTGTTTGTGTGCGTGCACAGTAAAATTTAGGTATTTATGAATGACTACCGCATTGTTAACAAGTTCTGTTTTTTAGGGAAAAGAATGGCAATTTTTGTGAAAAAAAAGTTTGTTTTTATTTCAATAAACGATTGTACTACCGAGTCTGAACCTCCTGTGAAAATTTGGGCACTTTGCAAAAAGACTCCCTTTATAAGTGTCTGTCACAAACACAAATAAAGAAGTAACTGTCTCCCGCAGAGAGTTAAAGAACATGATTTTCGGCACCGCACTGGCTGAAAGTCTCGCAAGGGATCTTGTAGGTTAGCGGTACGCAGTGAACGTTCATAGCCAGCTTCTTAGGTACCTTGAGGAGCTTGAGCTCATTAGCGTTTTTTTCATCTGTTTACCTACATGTTCTTACTCTCTTCTCTATTCTTAATGACCCTGCTTCCCCTAACTACTTAAAGGAAAAATTCCAATATCTATTATTAACTCACGCTAAAGCACTTCGTTCTTCAGCCAGTAGAATATTGTTAGAGTCATCAACTTTATCCTTCGTTTTTATGTAAGTGTCTATATATATCTTATCCTTTAAACGAGCAATTCTTGTATATACATATATATATATATATATATATATATATAATCGGAATCTCGGAAACGGCTCCAGCGATTTTCATGAATTTTAGTATATG